CACCTAATGATGTTCAACAATCACTTCTCATGTTCGTCGTAACACGTAGCTGTCGAGTCCCCAAAAGGTGAATGGTGAAGAAGGAGGGCAACAGCTACGCAACAACCTATTCGGGCCCGCCGCTACAGTCCCTATAAGGCACGAAGTACACATAAATCCGATAAGAAACTCGAGGTTGGCGGGCGGAAGCTGCAGCTGATGTCCCTCTGGGTCGACGAGACCCCTGATGGCTCAACTTTGTACTGGGTTCTATGTGCGAAGCCCGCCCGACTCGCAAGAAACGGCTGTCGACGTGAATTGGCAGAATCTCACCGTTTCACAGGCCCCCTCATTGAGACAATGAGAAATCCAACAGCACATCAAGCAAACCGAGCGCGACTTTGGTAGCCAGCAAACTATCCCTTTTGCACTTCCCAGAAACACCAGCTGGACACACCCACGCCCAGCTACGTCATAACATCTACAAGTTCACAAACAAATCGCGCTTAAACTTCATACGGATGATGCAGTTATTTAAGTAGCCTGCACTACAGTTTTGATCTCAACTAACTAGCAGGGCCTGCTCCTCCACATCACAAACATCACAGCATCTTCACACTCGATGCGCAATCCTCACTCAGATGTCCCTTACCGGCGCCTCTTCTCCTTGCTGCTTCTTCACAGCTCAATCAGGCTTTCTTCCACAGCTGGCTGTTTCGGGGCAGCCTGCGAGGCCGATGGCGCCGACTCCTGCGGATACCCGGGATATTGCTGCTGCTGCTGCTGACCATTCCATGGTTGCTGCTGCTGTGAGGATTGCTGCGGTACTGAAGGCTGCCAGTAGTTCTGTTGCGAAGGGTGGAGCTGGGTGCTGGTTAGGCTGGCCTGCAAGGCGCGCTGCCCGGGGCAGGCGTCTGTTGCGGTCCGGGGAGGTTGATGGTAGTGTTGTTGCTGTTGGAGGTTAGGATAGGGAGACGCATTAGGGTCGACGCTGGGCGGCGCTGATGGTGGGGCGCTAGGTTGTTGAGGATTGTAATAATATGATGCTGCCGTGGTGTTCGGGTCGGCGGAAGGCGTCTCGGCGGGTTGGCCATGAGCATGGTGTATATTTGTTGGCGCAGGTGGAGCTTCGGCTGGGTATCCCGATGGAGGATACTGACCTTCAGGAGGCCCTGTCCCGCTCCTCCAACTATCGGTTCGCTGGACTCCCTGATGAGGATATTGTCCTGTAGGAGGACCTGAAACAGCGCCCGTATGGTTGTAAGATGCATACTGCGGCTGTGGGGTTTGCTGGGGGTGTGGTGGGTACATTTGCGGCGCTTGTCCGTAGTCCTGTCGCTGCTCGCCAGTGTAGAAGTTCTCGGCCGCGCCTGGAACGCCGCCCTGGATAGATGGGTAGGAAGTTTGGCGGGGTGGCGGCATGTTGTAGCCTCCAATGGTGTGTTGGTGATATGCCTTGGATAGGCGCTCCTCCAGCATCCTGTCGTAATATCGCACCACGGTGGATAGCTTGGCGTGGAGGTCCAACAGTGTATCTGCATGCGTGGTTAGTTTGAAAGTCTTACGACTGCGATCAGAGGTGAACTGACCGTGTTTGCTCATAGTCTCTCCATATGTCCGCGCAAGCTTCGGCCTCAGGGCACCAATGCTGTCATACAGCTCCTGAATCTGCGGCTCTCTCAAAATTGTGCCGGGGGGTTGCGTCTGAAGCCTGTCGACAAGCGTTGCGAATAGGTTGATGTTTTCGGCTTCGACCGGAGTCAACTCGTAATCGTTCTTCGGAAGTGCGAAAGTGGATGTCGCAGCAGACGGCGCTGTGAACGTTTGTTCCTTGAACGCGGCCGCATGTCGCTGCTTTTGTTCCTCCATATCTGCCAGCGATGCAGCTATGGCAGCTTTGAGGTCATCATCGTCATCCTCAGCCTGTCTAGCGGCAGCGGATTTGCCACCGGCGTTTGCGTCTGTCGGGGCGTTGACTTTCGGCTCAACATATCCCTTGGAGTGGCCCTTGACCTCTTCCAAACTCATAGCCAACGCCTTCTTAAGATCCTCGTCGAAACCCTCGTCGGCTCGAGCGCTCCGTGGCTGCATGGCGGAGGTACTCCGTGTCTTGTGCGGATAAGTCGGCGTCCTATCTTGCGACGCGCCTGCCTGGCTTCCGCGGCCGCCCCTATCAGAAAGCTTCGCAAAGCAGCCATCGTCAACACGGACTGCTTGGAGGATGCCGAGGTGTGGAAGTGGTATGGACTTGCTCGAGCATTGCTGGTCGAAGCAGTTTCCGCAGTTTCGGCAGTGGTGTTTCCGGTTTGTGAAGGTGAAGGCAGTTCGGCATCGCATGCAGACGTCGGAGTCTATCCATTCGGGGGGCTGCACCTGAGTTAGCAAAGGTCCCTTACGCGATTATCGAAGAAAACCGGCTTACGGCGCTGCTGTCAATCATGCTGCTGGAGACACTGATCTTGGGAGGGAATTGGTGACCTTCGCGTTGCAAAGTTTTGTAGACTTCACCGATGTATCCCAGGTCATGCCGTCCTTCTGTAGCGGCTGCCCACGATTGCACAAGCTCGAGGATTTTGGCTTTGACCTCAGCGTTTACAGCCACCGCCCCCACAGCTTGGAGAAGTGACACCAGGTTGTCCATAAACTCTCTTGAGGCGATTTCGGCAAGGAAGTGGGTGCCTCCATTCTTGACACAGGTATCAGTTAGCTGTTCAGTCTTGTTAGCCTGGTGATTCGGTCGGAGAACCTCGGATCAAACGTGCGTTGAGTGCACTCAGCTGTGTATTCGGGTTGCGGTTGCCTATGCGCTTCTTCAAAGAGCGCATAGCCTCCTTTGGCTGAACAGTCTTGGATCTGATTACATCGGAGATCTCGAGATTCAGGGCAATGTCTTCGCTGCGGAAACGAGTGTTAGAAACACAGAGAAGAGCGTGCATGTTAAGAGGTGAAAATACAGGCTGCTGCTGGTGGCCTTTTCGATCTGCTCGTCTAGAGCCGTGTTGGCGGATGAGGACCACCAACCCATCATGGTCGTCGGAGCAGCGTTGTCGTCTAGAGGCGGGGGTGATCAAGGGATGAAGCTGCAGACTGTGAGGCGTACGAGTAGGCGATCGACGTATTACACGGACTGTAAGGCGATGGCGATGGTGTCGAGGGTGAACGAAGTTTGTTTGCCTAGCTTGGGAGATGCAGATGTAAAGCTCGGCGTTTGGAGTCTGCCTGATGCCCGCGATGCTCAAAGCCGCAGCTTGGCCCTGCGCCGTACTTCAGCTGACTAAGTTGCTCATTGGGAGGCGCCGCCAGCTTCCAGCCTCCGGTGGTGGTTGGCCCGGGGCGATGACGACGTGCTGCGGCGACCGCCCCTCCTGAGCTGCCCGTTGCCTGCCACCTAACCCAGGTCACTTGACGACCAGGCAGCATGACACAGTACCTTTGAAGCTAGCGGGGACCTCTCTGTGGCGCAGGCTGCGTCACCTTCTGGTGCTTCGACTTCCATAATTCACATGGTGTGCCCCGCCGGGCGCCTGCTCCCCGCCTGTCTCCAGGCTTGCTGGCAGGCTCTAGGCCCTGTCCATCAGTGCAGGGAGCAAGGCTCCAGGGCGCTGCTTCACCTAGAGGCACGAATATGTCACCTTGGCACCTCTGTAGATGTACCACTCGCCCCTCCACTTCTCCATTGTGGGACCCCCCCCCCTGCCCCCCCTGTCGACCCAGATTGAGGGTGGCAGGCCTGCCACTGCCTCGGGCAGCTTTCCTTTGACAACACCACCACTTGTAGGCTGGCCAAGCCATCGCGAACAAAGGCGCAACCTCCCACGATTCTACCACGCCTTTGTTCCGAAGAATGCGTACGATTACAGCGTGATCTCTTGCGACTTGAGCGCTTTGCATCTTAACTTAAATCCCGACTTGACCGACATAACAAACCTGCGGCTGCGACTTATCCCCCTCCGATTTACGTCCTCTAACGATCACGACATGTTCTGGGTGCTCTGCATTTTGCTTGAAGATCTCCTCGGCTGATATGAGTTTCGCTACCTCTTCGATCACCTCCGCCGCTCTGCAGCCCTCCACCATGGGTAGCAACGGAGGAATGGGTGCTAGCCACCGCGGGACGCCGTTGCCGCACATCGATGACTTGACTTCGCAGCCAGTCGACATGGACATGCAGCTACCTCTGCGCAAGATTCTCGACAGAACCGATGGCGCTCTCAAGTCCGCCGAGGCACTTCGCGATTTCGGTCGCCCTGCTGAAGCCCTCCGCGAGTTCATCCAGGCCGCCACCATCACCGTTCGTCTGATACCAACACATCCCGAATACGTATCGGTTCAGGCTGGTCGCCCGGAGCTCAAGCGCATGTACAACAACCTTTTAAGCAAGATCAACGAGCAGCACCCTACATTCGAGAAGATCAAGGCTGCCATTATCGAGGATAACAAACGGAGTGGTGTGCGGCCCCTGTCGCGCCCTGCGCAACCCGACAATCGAAAGGAGTGGGAAGGGCCAGGATCAGTGCCGACTGATACGAATGGAAAGCCGAAACCTGTCATCCAGCCCAAGCCTCTATCACTGCAGGGCCGTCCCACAGCAAAGAACGTCAGCGATCTTCAGGCACGGTTCAAGAACCTAGGAGGCCCTCGTGCTTTCTCTGGACAGGACCCTCGAATCAAAACCCACCCACACGCTATCACGACGGATCATCCGTCATTCTTCCAACCCGGCATAAATCATACAGACCTTCCCAAGCCGCCACAAGCTATCTTCAACCCTGCCACTGGAAAAACTCTTGAGGATGCCGCTGCTGCCCTGCCTTCAAGCACCAATTCATTATATACTACTGGACCACCATCTGTATCTGCGAAGTCTGGGCACGCAGGAACAAATGATTATTTTGGACCCGTCCGCGCTTCCACAGGAGACTCTTCTGTTGGGAAAATACCCGCTGGAGGAACCTCTGAAGCGAGGACACCCCAACGGAAAGACACCATGCCCAAACCAAAATTCACGATCCCTGAAACAGAGAAGATCACCGTCGACGAACTGCTGAACTTGCAAAAGACTGCACGCGTGCTTCTCATAGACGTTCGGCAACGCGAGGCTTATGACGAGGGCCACATACCATCGCAGCACATAATGTGTATCGAGCCATCCACCCTCACTCGCGAAGACGTGACGGGTAGTACCATCGAGGAAGCGTTGGTTTTGGCACCAGAGCAAGATAATGCCCTCTTCCGGGCGCGAGACACGTTTGATCTCGTTGTCTTCTACGACGAAAGCTCAACGAAGCTTCCGAAGTATGTAGCGAAAAAAGAAGACGGAGTCCTGTTGACGTTGAAGCGTGCGCTGGATTTGCTTTCTATCGGTAAAGAGCTACCTCACCCGTCCAAGCTCCTGGATGGAGGACTGGATGCATGGACCGACACGTTCGGCAGGCAAAACATAGCGACGACGTCGGACACTGGCAGCATACCGCTCATTCTTCGGAAGGCGCAGGCATCCGTCAGGCCGACTACCAGCCGCGTGAAATATCCTGGGTCCAAAAATATTCCTCAAGGTAAAATCGATGAGTGGAATCTGCGGATTGGCAACGAGGATCAAACTATTCGCATCATACGCTCGCCCGGAGAACTCCTGAGGGACTTTTCCAGCACTGGCCAGCAGTCCATGGTGTCGAGCTCGCCCAAACAACCTCCTCGGCCTCTCACAAGCAATAGCATGCCACAAATGCCCCAGCGAGCCGCCGCAAAGCCAACACTCAGCGGCTTTACCGACACCAGTTCTGCCAGCACGACACAAGCCTTGGTCAGCAAATCAAAGAGCGCTGGTCAACACATGACTGGACTCAATAACCCCCACAACTGGTGTTACGCCAACAGTCTGATCCAGTCGCTGCGCCTGTCGCCTGGGTTCGGAGGAGAGCTGGCGAACAAGGATTGGGATAAATTGTACGTGTTGCCACGAAAGTCGGACGAGAAGAGTGACCATCCACGGTTGATGGCCCGCATCATTGCGAACCTGTTCTACTGGATGGCAGAAGGCAGCTTCCCTGTGATGAAGGCACAGACATTGATGGTAAGCCCAGAACATGATTTGGGGGAATGATTTGTAGCTGACTCTTTCAGGACTACTCTCTGTCGCTTTGCAACGCCAATTCCGTTCAGCAATTTGGCAGCGCTCGCCAGCAAGATGCCTCCGAGTTTATGACCTGGCTCATGGATGCGCTGCACCAAGAGACGAATACCAAGCGCGACAAGGAGGGTCAGGAAAAGTACGAAAGCCCCGACATGCGTAACGACAAGTCCTTAATACAGGGCGCCTCGGAGTGGTGGAACAAGTATTCTGTCGCAAATCAATCCATCATTGATCGATACTGGCGGGGCGTCCAGGCTCAAGTGGTGACGTGCACCAAGTGCAACAACAAAACGCTATCCTGGACTCCAGTTGACACGATCATGCTGCACATTGACAGCCCCAAGCTGCAGACCCTCGAGCAGTGCCTGAGCCTCAATAGCAACGAGGAGGTCTTGGATGGGTACCGGTGCGACAACTGCCAGAGCAACTCACGCGCCATGAAGGCTGTCTACTACCCTCGCCTGCCGGAGCTTCTCTGCATCTCCCTCAGCCGCTTCAGCGTTGCCGAGGGCAAGGTCTCTCGCAATATCACCTGGAACCTCAACAAGCTGAATATGGAGCCCTACACCGCTGACCACCGTATCCCCACCGATCGGACTGAACATCCCCCACCCCAGTACGAATACGAATGCTACGCCGTCATCATCCACGCGGGCCGCGATATCTCGTCGGGTCATTACTTTACGTACGCGCGCGACTTGACTTTGGCTGACTCGAGCATGTGGTATAAGCTCAACGACTCGCGGATCTCAAAGGTCGGCAGGCAACCAGAGATATTTGGCAACAGCAATGACACGCCGTACCTGGCATTCTTCCGGCGAAAGCAGTCTGGCTCCTCAGGAGGCAAGCTGTAAATGTCTCGCCGTGGAACACTAAGGGCGTGGTTGGGCATGCGGGTAGCTTGTACCCGAGTGTGTTTAGTGTGTATCTTTTTTTTTATCGGGGGGCAATACCCTGTATCTACGTGTCTTTGATTGATTGAGATTGATAGAGCAGGAGGGGCGCCGGCTTATTGCTTTCTCTGCTCTTTGCTCTCTGGACTTTTGTTTTCAGGCGCTAGCATGGCGTCTGGGATGAGCGATCTCCGTTTTCTCTGTTTAGCGGCGGCGGTGACGAAAGCGACGGCGGTGCATGGTATTCATTCTGAGCGTATGGCTGCATCCGTGTGGTGTTTGATGTGAATACTGGAATAAAGAAAGATGGAAAATACGCCCATCTTTGATGATTCTTTGCCATTTTTTTTTTCTTTCTTTGTGAAAAATGAAAACGGCTCTCGACTTAGTGTGCCATGCATTTTCCCTCCCTCTTGTCGTACGGGGCTGCTTGCCGCCGCTCATCTATGAAGCCATCCCTTGAATCTGTTGGCTGACAGAGGCGCTGCCGGTGTTGGCGTATCCTTTGTGGTCTCGCCCAGCCCAGAGGTGACGGATGAGGTTGGTCTGGTTTCCAGACCTCATGGTGGCGGGAGCTACTGTAGACACAATGCGCCGGTCGGCCGTTGACACATTGCAGATATTCGTCCTGGCCTTACTTTGACGCCCCCTCCTTCTCCCATGTTGCCTAGCCGGGTTTGCTCTTAGAGTTTCTCTGACTCAACATGGCACTGTCGTAGCGATCGGCGGACCCTGAGTCTAGAAGGACCCTTAATGACGGCAGATGCATTCCAGTGGCAATCATCACAGCCGCGTTTCTCACGGTACGACATCTGGCTCTCAACGAAGCCCTCGATGTATTGACGGGGCAGACGATAACGTCAGGTTTGAGTGCAATTCAACAAGCGCTTCACAAAATAGCAAATATCAGTACACGGCGCCAGAGCAAAGTTGTTTCGCTGCGCGAATCGCCGTGTTACAATAAATAGATTGCATTCAATGCGCCCTCATCCTGTGCCAAGCAATCCCACCTCTGCTTCAATCACACGAGCTTCACCACCACGGTACACCAGAACCGCTTATTTGCCAAACGCCTTGGCAATTTGCGTCTTGTAGTGCGCCCGGAGCGCTCTCCTGTTCACCTTTTGCGTGGCAGTCACGAGACCCTAGAAAAGAACAAGGCCGTTAGTACAGGGTCCAGACGTGGGACGGGGCAGGCAAGGACAACTTACACTAGCAGGCGTCCACTCGTCCTCAACGAGCACAACAGCGCTGATAATCTCGATGCCGCCGAGTCCGCCGTTCTTGCCGACGGTGACAAGGTCCTTCAGAACAGTGTCCTTGACCTTGCGGTCAGAGTGCTGGTGCGCCTCGTCGACGCCGAGCTTCTGCGCCAGCTCGGTCAGAGTCTTTTCGTTGGGCGCGATGACGGCAATAGGTCGCGAGCTGTCGGGGTCCGTGTCGATCATGATGTTGGCAACAAACTGGCTGCCGCGGTAGACAGACTCGAGTTTCTCAAGGGCAATGTACTCGCCGCCTTGCATCTTGACAAGGTTCTTGACGCGGTCGATGACGCGGAGGTGACCCACGGCATCAAACTCGCCAATGTCGCCCGTCTTGAACCAGCCATCGGCGGTGATTACCTTCTCTGTCTCCTCCTTGTTGTTGAAGTACTCTTTAAAGATGGCAGGACCCTTGATGAGAATCTCGCCCTGGGGCGGAGTGCTGTCGGTCGAGTAGTTGAGCTCCGGGAGGGAAACGAGCTTGATGTCGGCGGCGGCGGGGACGGGGCCGATGGCGTTGGATGTGTACTCGAGGGGGTCGCCGAGAGCACCATTGGCGCCCGTCTCGGTGAGACCGTAGCCCGTGAGCATGGGTGCGACGGTCATGGAAAGGAAGTGCTTGGTGCCGTCAGAGATACCACTGGCACCGTTCATGGTGAAGCGCAGACGGCCGCCCGTCAGCTCGCGAACCTTGGCGAAAACGACAGAATCGAGAACCGTCGCGAGGGGCAAGTTGTTCTTGCTCATGAACGTCTTGTAGTTGAATGCACCCCAGAAGAGGGCCTTGGTGACGGCGCCAGCACTGTTGACCTTGGCTTCAATGCCCTTCTTGACAGTCTCCCAGACCTGAGGCACGCCGACCATGACGGTAGGTCGCAGCTCGCGCATGTCGCCGGCGCAGTTTCGCATGGAGGTATCGGAAAGCGTTCGGGGGTTGCCGTAGCCGAGGGTGCCGCCGATGAACAGCACAATGTTCTCGAGGACCATCTCGAAAATGTGGGCGAGCGGCAGGTACGCCAGGATGTACTCATTTTGACTGACACACTCCTCGACGTTGGTGTAGAGGCCAGTCACAGCAGCCAACACATTCTCATGCGTCATTGGCACACCTTTGGGTAGGCCGGTCGAGCCGGACGTGTACATGATGCAGTAGAGATCTGCGGGGCTGGGCTCGACAGGGTCAACGGGGTTGTCCTCGCCCAGCTGGCGCACCTCCTCAATGCTGTAGAGGGTGGTATCGGGGTTCGCCTTCTTGAAAGCCTCAACCTCATCGCCGGTGGCAAAGTGAGAAGCGTCATTGTAGATCAGGAACTTGACAGTCTTGGCCTTCTTCAGCGGCCTGGTGGCAGTCTTGAGCAGCTGGGGGTCGATGTACATGGCGTCGGCATCGGTCTGGAGGAGGGAGTGCTCCAGGCCCTCCTCGCCAAGGGTATCGTAGGCGGTGACGAGAGAGATGGACTGGGAGCCGCAAGCGTGGGACAAGGCCATCCAGTTGAGGCTGGGTGACGTCGGTGGTCAGTCACGGTGTCTCGGGAGCATCAGTGCGGGGGATTTGGGTTCCGCGTGGAATGGAACGGGCTGCTTACTGTGTCGTGGCATAGAAGTGCAGCCTGTTGCCCTTGCTGAGGCCCAGCTTACGCAGACCGGAGCCCAATTGAAGGATATACTTGTGCAACTCGGCGTAGGTCAGGAAGGAGAAGGGCGACAGCTCGAAGAACTGCCACTCCTTTTCGACCTCCTGGATCTCGCCATCGACATTCTTGGTAATCTTCTTCGTCTCCTTATGCAGCTTGATCAGCTTGCGGGTGCCGGCGGCAGGTTCGTTGGGGTAGACGCGGGCGCTGCGCTTGACAATGTCGTAGATGGTGTTGACGTCCTCAGCGGGGCGCTTGCGAAGGCCATCCTTGGCTTTGGGGCTGCGACGGGGAAGGGTCTCGCCTTCAACCTTCTCGTAGCCAGGCGCTTCGATCGTGAAGGGTGGCTTGTGCACCTGGTACAAGGGCATGATACCCTCCTTGTAGTTCGGCATGGTGGCGGCGGCGGGTTCGTGGAGGAGTATGCTGAGGAGAAGGACAAAGATGGCAAAGGCGATGACGACAAACTTGGAGCTCGTAAATGGAGAGAGGGACGGAATGGTGGAGGATCCGCCAGGGGACAAGAGCAGAGAGCAGATGGAGGAGAGAAGAGGAGTAAACCTGGCAAGGTTTCGGGAGCCAGGCAGAGACGCGAGGCTTGATTGATATTGGTGACGGTTGGGCCAAGTCTGTCTGCGTCCAAGCGAGGCGAGCCAGTTCGGGTTGATGAGGAGCTGGAAGGCAAAGGCTGAGGTACCTACTGTACATTAAGCTGGGATTGGGGCACAGGCTGAAGTGGAGGCTGGCTGGCTGGTGACTGATGCCTCCGCTTTCCACTGGGGACGGAGCTTCACTGGAGCTGGGGGGAGCACGGGTGCCCGTGCTGTGACGCCAAGCCACAGGCTGCCTGTCCCCTCCCCCCTCCCCTTCTCACCTCCAGGCTCTAAGGCTCCAGGCGCCCAAGCCCCGGATTCGAGGCAATTGCGTCACGTTTGCGTTGGGATCCGCTTACTGAACAGAGGCGCAGGTCATGCGACTAGCCTCTCAACATACCTAGGCGGCACCCTATCACTTGAATACAATTCAATCCAACCAACCCTACACTCCCTGGGTAAGGTACCGTATGGGTAATGTACACGGATGAAGTCAACACAGCTGATTTCTTCCTCTCAATCCACGTCCTGCCATGACGGTAGAGCTCGCCACGCCTCAATGCATCCATCCATGCAGCCGAGGTTTCTAAACACTTGCAATCACGAGCTCGTTGTCGCCCCGAGAGCCTCGGTGATGACCCTGGCCTCGCTTGCGACTACCTCTACCCCAATCAGTCAAGAAACCACTTGCGCGTGGGTAAGGTGCCCCTCAACGCCACACTGCAGCAGCGGAGGGCGGGGCCTAAGGCTAAAAAAACGGTTCTCTGCATGTACTAGTTGTTACCTCACATGTTGCAGGTAAATCTACAGTAGATGCACGGCGACGACAAAGTGGGAATAATGCTTCTTTTTCGCCTTAAATGCGGTTCAACTAACAACTTCATGTGATCCTTTCGTCGAGATCCTCGTAAACTCTTGGACTGGACGGGCGAGCCGATTCCTCAATCTTGCAACATGGCAAGCTCCACGTGGTGGACATCTCCGAAGTCCAGAGAGCACCCTTATTTTTTGCCTATCCTGCACGCCCAGATGTGCCGAGATCCCGCAATCTGTGAATGAACGACTCCCATTGTATGCTACAACCCGGCGCGCCAACCCGTCGCATGCCGGAACCGAGACCCGGCAGCCATGTCATTTTCTCGGACACTGTCCTTTTACTCGCGGGGCTCACGGGGAACCTGACCCTCACGGACGGCCGCCAGGATGAGGTCCTTTGCCTGCTCGACACCATCAGCAGTGCCGACAACCTCGATGGCCTCCTCCTGGGAGTCGCTGCGAGGCACTGTGATCCTGCAGCCACTGTGCTTGCGGATCGTGTTGACCGTGCAGCCGCCCTGACCAATGACGAAACGGTATGTCTTGGGGTCGGGAAGGATCAGATAGCCGACAGTAGTGTTCTTGCGGGCCTCCTCGATCGCCTTGTTGATGCTGGCCTTGGCCTTCTCGACGCCCTCGGGGGGGCCGCGCAGCACCCAAGCAATGTCGCCCTCTTCGGTGGAGCCAACGCTCTCGACCTTCCAAGAATGGGCATCGGCCGTCGTCTCCTCGTCGTCCGTAATCAGAGGCAGAGCACCGCCGTTGGCGCGAGTGGCAGAAGACTTGGCTGGCACCGACTGTCCGTCGTGGCTGACCGTGACCTGGTGGTTGCTGCGCAGCTGACGGAAGATCTGGCCGTTGTTCGAGACGGCGTGGTGGAGACTGCGGGGAACCTGCAGCGCCTCACCCTCCTGTTCCTTGACCAGCGAAGCAAGGTGCTCCTTGGCCTTGGCCACGTTCTCGGAACTGCCCGTAAGCTTCACGCCAGTCTTGCCGTCGCCCTGTCTTGGCACATCGATAGAAACCGACAGCTGCGTCTCGAGCTGACGCTTGGTCTCGCCACCCCTGCCGATAAGGGTCCTGTGCTTGTCAGTAAGAACCTCCAAGATCTCGGTGACCTGGTTCTCCTTCGAGGATACGAGCTCCAGGATCCGCGGGGAAGATCTTCTCGACAACGTGCGTACGGCGCTCAACCTTGACAGTGTTGGGCTCGA